CATCTTGCATCATGCTGGAAACATGGCCAGTGATTTCATCTGAATACAAAATTTAATTTAGAGTTGACACAAACAGAAAAAAATATCTATGATATATAAAGAGGAATAAGTACCTTGTTACTTGAATGCATTGGACTATACATTCCGGCAAATTTGATGCCAGCAATTGTCAACTAGCCAACAAAAGGGGAACAAAACATATCATAATTGAAAAGTAGAGACAGCATACACAATATAATGCCTAGGCATTAGTACATCAGGGATACCTGCTGTTCAACGACATGTATGTGCTCAAGAAATTGAGAAAATACTATAACTTTCTCTGGAAGTGCCTCATAGGATTCAGCACCAAGTCTAGGGCAGTCCAACTGAAAGAATGCTCTAGAGTTTCCCCTTGTTCGAGGACTGAGATTCTCCTTGCTCTTGGCATCATCGTTCACATTCAAAGAGCAGCTGACATCTCTATGAGCCTCCTGCAACGCCTTCAACTTGTCCACCAGGTAGCTGACTTTACTGCTAGATGTTGATTGCCAATCAGGGTTCCAATCATCCTGCATTAACATCACCATAACATTGGATAAAGTTGTCTTCAAATCCAAAATTCAAAATGGATATGGTCCATCATATTATGAAGCAACCTGCTTATATGAAGGTTGCAACTCAATAAGATCCTTCGGTACAGGCCACTTTGGGTTAGGATTTTCTGGCCGAGCTAATGTTTCAGGAGTCTGCATCTCATACAAGTTTCCACAGCCAGGTAAAGTACACCTTTCATTGTCCAAAGCAACACAATCGAGACACAAGAGATGCCTACAAGGAGTAATGATGGGCAGACGGCACCATTCCTCGCATCTAAGCAAAGCAGGATATGAAGAAGATCAAGAAACTGACTATATATAAGTAATTTAATAGAAAAACCATATAGTATCTCCAAATAGAAGGGTTACCTAAGACAGTTACCACCATAAAGAAGGTTATACTTAATAAAAGCATACTCCTCTGAGATGGGGTCCAGACCATTTTCAACTAACATGTCCATTGTGTCCTGAATATCTTCACCAGCATCAGTTACTTTAATATGGCCAGCCACACAACAAGAGAGCCTGACATTTCTAATTGTTGTAGTACGAAACTTCCACTGCTTTGAATTCAGCAAACTTTCAACATGAGAAGGATCATTCCAGTCAGCCATTAGTATGTTCCTTCTCACTGTAACTACCAATTCATTATAGCATCTTGCATGCTCTTCGGTGAAATTAAGATATGTCACCTTTTTTATGCATGGAGGAATAGTCTGCAAATCTATCTTTCTTGCACTAATCATGCACCGATGTAGTAATTTCAACAGACGCGAGCGACCCTCTTCCATCTCTGCCTCAACGGTCTAAGTATGCCGGCTTCCCATGATTTCTGATTCTGTCCATAAGCTTCCTCATGAAGGAACTTAAGCATGGGTTGGAGATGTGAAAGCTGACTGT